GCCACTACACGGCAAATTTTTACTAGTTCTCTTTCTCGCAAGAATTCTTTGTGAAATCATCTACCACCGGCGATTTTTCCGGACCGATACGATTTAGAGATCTTCAAGAAACGAGCTTACTGCAATTTCCTTGGTTTTGCAGTTGTTCATGGGCGATAGTCGACACTTACTATCAGGATTTTTTTTATTTAACGTGGGCGAAAGCACGGGGTAGTAAGCTAGTAAAATATGAAAATCTAGTAAATATATTCGTGAGATAGGCAGGCACGGACAGAACAGGCTGGTGGGGGGCGCATATTCATAGTTAGCCGTTAGTTAGTTACGTGGTAGAGCCATGCTGCAGTTATATTATGGTTGTAGCACGAATGGGTCGGCTCGACCGGGGAAGGACCACGCTCTCACAGAAAACCAGCGTAAAATAGCAGCTTAACGCTGCTGTGTTTCGTATGGTGAGTGTAGAGAACCGGAGACCCTTTTTACTGGCAAAGAGGCATTCCATCTTAGTCCTCACGGGTGACAACGCATCTGCATCTTGAGTCTTTATTGAGGATAGATGTAGATGCCTATGGGTCACAGCAACCACATACCATCAGGTGGACTGTGTGCTCGTTTGTCACCCAATCCAATAAAAAAAAAAAGCCTAGGCCTGTGGGAACTCTAAATCAGGCACTGGTTGAGTATAACAATACGTTCGGATAACCCAATGAATTCGTCAATGTAGTCCTAATTATTTTTGACCTTTAGAATATAAAGTCACCGTAATCCTCTATATTCTCTCCAAGGCGTCGAACTTCACTTAGTCCCACTATCAACCAATTGATGTGTTCCAGTGCTAGAATCAGTTCAGCCAGGCTTTCATTGGTGCTTAGAGAGTTGCATGTTGCTATTGTGACGCTTCATAATTATTATTAATAAATAATAATTAAATTAATTATAAAGACATTTAAAAATGTCTTAGAAATTATATTTTAAACAATTAAAATGCAATATTAAGTATAATGTTCAAATATGTTCATTTGGAATATTAAACATTTATAGTATTAATTGTCTCTAAAAATCTCAAAATTTATTAAAATTCTGTTTAAAACATTCAAAATGTATTAAATTATATAAATACAAGTCGATTATATTGCAATAATAAAGATAAATAAAATTTGTAATACTAAATTGATGAAGGTGTTCTTGTAATGTACCCTTATATGGGGGCGTTGCCGGAGACACATACCCAAGGTTGTACATATATATGGGGTGGTCGGCTGACCGACTGCTAGTACTAAGGTTGCACAATGACTAGTCCTATATTAGGGACTTATCATAGTAAGGTCTATGGAACCAAAGCATTAATATAGAAGGTCTCTATGATGCATAAGCATTATGATAGCAGAGTTATGACTTGACGTCCCATATGCATAAGACATACAATAGTATGGTCTATGAAATAAAGCAAATATGTGGAAGGTCTCAAATATGTAAAAGCATTATATTGAAAGAAATGGGACTTGAAAAAGATTATAGTGGCGTGTAGGTTCCTTCGCAGCCTCCGAGACCGAGGTAAACTTGGACTCGCTAACCGATGTGTCCTAGACATATCATCTTAGTGTCGGTGGTACGCGGGTTTGTTGTAGCAATACGACTTGCCCGTGGACATCGCACACCCCTACCGTTTGTGGGCGGCATCTTAGCGCATAGCGTTATGATACGTCGGCTATCTTTTGGATTAGGGTGAGTGTGTTTGGTAGTACTTTTAAGTGCAGCAAGCATACTCAACTTCATGTCTTAGTGCAATAGCGCTATGATACATGGAGTTTTGGCTACTGACGTCATAGTACCGTGCTACTATGATACGTTGGTGGTATTTTTAGTTAACAACATTATCAATTTAGTTACCAAAGTCAATAGGGATCATGTGGGTGTATTGTGAGGGGGGGCACCATCCGTATGATAGTTGCATTGATGCTTACTGCTACTTGCAGTATTGCGTCTTGTGATGGATCTGCGGGTGTTCTGCACCTGATTCGACGCATCTTGTGGTTCTGGTCGAAGGAGGGTATGCGGGTGGTGATGTCTGCTGGGACTGTATGGGGGACCTTGGGATGGTGTAAGCCCGACGATAGTCGTATTGATGCTTGTTGCGTTCTGCAGCATTGCGTCTCTACGATGGTTGTTTGGCGGGTCGCTATTCTCAATGGCGCTCCCGGCGTCTTGGTTTGACTCACAACCTAAGTAGCTTTGCCCAAGTCGGGTCCCTTCATTGCGGGACTGCAGACTGTCTGACCTCCATGATGTTTTATATAACAACATAATAATATATCTCTATAAAGTTCCCACTTTGAAAGATTGAAGGCAACTTGGTTGGTCGGTGACACAAACATGATCGAAAAATGCATATACCCAACGCCAGTGACACAAACCCTTTCTGATGGCGAATTATTACTAATATCTTATAACTGCCTATTGGCTATATCTGCCATTGTATTGGTTGGTGGAGCAAATGTGTCGACCTCATGCGGGTGGTAGCTGGAGGGAGAATCTGAGGAGGCTCTCAAGGCTGCGGCCGAAAGCCGCGCAACGTGGGACCCCATTCCCTTGAGGTGAGCGGTAGACTTATGACACGCTCTGCGGCCAATTCGACCGATTTGACCGTATTCTGTATGGCGTTTACACGCATTGACATGCGCGACTTCGGTCGATGTTTGTGCTTACGCACTATCAAGGGACCAAGCCCTCTTTTACTGGTTGGTCAGTTATTTTGCTGTGGACTACGGTCCAGTTCCCAACTTAGCGTACCTTCGGGGGGAGCGCATTAAAATGGTTGGCGCTCACCGTGCACGGCGTGTGCGGAGCAGTGTACCTCTTCCACATTTTTTTTAAATGTGGGAGAGCAAAGCCCTTGTATCTGGTATTTGATATAAATATTGTGAGCCTTTTCCAAGCGGGAAGGGATTAATTAATAAGGAATTGACTGATGTGAACCTGATACAAGTGGAATAGGAACAATTTATTACACTATGTTAATTATACTGCTATTTTGACAAGGTGTTTTAGAGGGCACATGTGCTTCAAGTTTGAGTGGGTTAGTTAACAGTTTCACTGTCTGGTTTTCAGACACAATAGTAAGACAATAGCAATGAACTATATGTAGTGCACGGGACAGCGAAAGGGTTAAAGGGTAGTAAGTGTTCTTCATCGTAAAATACGAAAAATGAAATACCTGTCATTCTTTTTAGTGAATATATTTTCAGCAATAGCCATGTTTTTGAAACATGGCTAATATAAAACAATTAGTTAGAAAGAAATTACAAAAACTTCAAACTATTTAAGGAGTATAGAGTTTTTAGCATTAACTTAATCTTAAAAGTAAGGCAGCCACTATCAAAAGGATTGCATGAGGATGCACTGTACTGTATGCAAATGATGGATGCACTTAACTGAAGTTGCATGTGCTGACAATATTATCTAAAATCAACTGTCGTACATTAGTCTCGTAAAAACTTAAAAATGGAAATTTTGTTTATTTAAATTAACAATTGGTCCCAGTAAGTGGTGATAGGTCGAGATCCAGGAATCACCTGTGCAAAGCCAGGGTGGATCGCTAGTTATAGATAAAATATTATATTTGTATGCTTGTTTAATTTTCCTATACCATTTATCATATGTATGGTACCGGTTGATTGGCAGAGAATGCCATTAGGCATTAAATCCGCTCTTTGTCTCAAACAAGATTAACTAAATAAATATAAAAAAATTACAATGTAAATGGTGAGTTGTTGTTATTCTTTTTATTTTTTGTCAAAATATGAATACTGGTCTTCTGCGAGTTCCATTCATCTTATAACATTGAAACTTTAGTGAAACATAAGGAATTATATAAGTTTTGTGAGTTGTTGTACGTCTTCTATTTGTTTTTGTACTGAAAAAGAGACTGAGGTCAAAAGCCAATGTGAAATAATTGACAGCTTATTATTACTTTCTCTTATACTTGAGTACTGCAAAATCTACCTTCATTTTCTCAAAAAAGAATGAATCCTCTATTACCATATATAGTGAATACACATATTTCCTTATTATTTAATAATGCTGTGACTGGCATAACAATACAGTTAGAGTTAGTGTTAAGATCTTGACATCAACTTTAATACTGAGCTCCTATTCTAGTGAATGATGAATTAATGCGTAGGCAGACAAAAATCACTGCAGGTGACAATCATTAGAGCTCATGCAGTCCATTGAATAGCATCATAGATCTAATAATGATATGAATACTCTATTAATCTCAAAATAAATCCTTATAGGTAATACTAACAAAATACAATTCTCAATTTTTCTATCCCAATGTAATAAATAGAACAAAATTTTACTAGAACACGTCATATTGCATATCACATGAGTATAGTCTCATAGTTTAATTTAAACTGCTTGTACAGGAGAAACAGTTACTATGTAGTCTATAGTATTCCAACATAACAGTACAAAATGGTTATATAATAGCACCTTACGCTAGACTTGTGTCAATTGTGAATGATTCATTAATTTGACCCTGGTTGCATCAAAGTATATGATTGCATATACATTTTTTGTATGTTCCGGATCAAATGGTTGACAGGATCTATGACCAAAGAGTATAGTAATCTCATAGATCACAGAGTACTGAAACTCTAAATGATATGACTCAAAATCATCGACCCAAATAATCCGGTTTGTAAGACAAATCAATACTTGAATGACCTGGTCAATAAAAAATAATGAATGACACATATCTATTATTCACTAGAAGTGAATAACAGATATGAGGGAGTTGACAGTGAAAGCATTTAATTTCAATACAGTACACACTAATAACACAAGTGTCTTAAATATTACTTAGTTTCATTCCTTTACTAAGTCAGAGATCAAAGATTACGTTAGATCAAGAAAAGACAACTAAAATTTACACAAACAATATAATATAATTATATTCTGTTGATATATTAATCTATTAACAAAATAAAAAGGCCTTAGATCTATGTAAGGTCTACAATTGGTTTGAATAAAACCCACAGCCTCTCAAATTCAGCATGGTACTGTTGTACTATATCTCGTTGGGAGGTCACTGTTACATCTTCCCAATTTCCGTTTAAAGCCTGATTTGTCCAATTTAATGATCCCATAATTACAAATGGAGTAACATGTTCATCTGCGGCTAATGTGTCAACAAGGCAAAATTTATGATGCATTAAATTGCTCGATTTCATCCACCTGATTGGAATCCCCTGTTTTTCTAATTTTCTGGTACATGATCCAGAAGAATATGCCATATCTGCATCAATTATCACACGTATTTTTACACCTCTAAAGTGTAATTTCATTAATACGTTGTTTAAATCCAAATTTGTCATTACGTACATGCAAATATCTAAGCTTTGCCGAGGTACATTCAAGTAATATAGTAAACGGTCCATACTATGAGTTATAATACAACGGGAATATTTGCTTTTCTTCAGTTCACTTGCACCGTAGGAGAACATTATAACTTCGTTTATTTCTCTTTTAGTTGTCGGCGTATGCCGTTTTCTTTTTTTGTAATAACTATACATTATTTGTGTAATAAAAGTTATAGAAATAATGATAAGAAATGGCCCGCCAAAACGGTTAAGTGACATGATGTAGACAGACAACACAGTTTTGCAATTATAAGATTTTAAAACATTTCATGAAAAAATAGTTCATATGTTTAAACTAATACACAACACTTAATATTAAGTTAACGTTAAATTAAAATATTAAATCATAACTACAAACGAAAACACTAAAGCTATCTGTTTACAAAAACATTGAATTGATTGTTGTTGTTTTTATTATTCCCTCGAGAGAGCAGGCAAAGGACCTAAGCCATACAGCCTTCTCATTTTTATTTTGAATATATAGAATTTTAAAATGTAAAGGCCGGAACCAAGTCTTATTTTTCTACTATCCATCTCTTCAAAATCCATAAAGGCCAAAGCCAAGTCTTATTTTCTTTAATTCTTCACATTTTTTTAAAAAACCGTAAATGCTAAAGCCAAGTCTTCTTTATATTATAATCTTTATAAGTTTCAATCCATGTAGATTTGTCAATTCAATATTATTAAAAACAGGGATACCACATTTCATATTTCTTTTACAGTATTATGAATAAAATTGCAAAGTGCTAAATATATCTTAGTATTCCTAAGAACATCTTGCAGGGCACGCGGGACGCTTACTGAATTTTCATAAACTTGTATAAGTTTTTCAATGAGTAGCAATCTTTCTATGGCATACGATGGGCAGTTATATATTATAAGCTCTGCAGTCTGATCTGCTTCTGTATCGCAGAAGTTGCATGTTGCAGATGATACTATTTTCATCCTGGAAAGATGAGCGTTCAGTCGATAGTGACTAAATCTAAGTCTGCACATTATTGTATAAAATTTTCTGCTATGATATCTCTCGTTGCGAGAAAGCCAAGGAATACTTAATTCTAAATTAATTGATGCATACCAACGACTTTTTCCTGCTAGAAGCAACAGCATTCCATTGCATTTTCCATTCTTCTTTTAACTGTTGCCTTAAAATTGAATATAAATCTGTATGTGGTATTGCAACACCGGTTATCCTGTCAATATCAGCTGTAGCTATACTTTTAGCTAAATGGTCTGCGCTTTCATTTCCTTCAACACCAATATGTGATGTAGTCCATAAAAATTTTACTTCCACATTATTTTCTTTCAATTTCCACCACAAACTTTTGATTTCATATATGATGAAAGACGTTTTAGCATCTAAAGTTCTTGCCTTCAGTGTCTTCAAGACACTCATGCTATCAAAGATCAGTAACCATTTATTAGATACATGTGGGTGTTCTTCTATATATGTAAGAGCGATTAAGACAACATGAATTCTGCAGTGTATATGCTTGCTGATGCAGGAATGGAAAGGCCACGTCCAGTTTTCAGATGAGGTATGTAAAATGCACAGGCTACTTTATTTTCATCTTTTGAACCATCTGTGTAAATTTGTCGATATTCATCATATGTAGATACAAGTTCATAAATCTTTTCTTTTCTTTTCAATTTTTCATCAATATTTATGTGTATATCAATGAATTTACTTTCATAATTCTCCTTATAACAAGGCCAAGTATGTGTGCTTTTGTGAATATTATATTGTTTATCATATCGTATCACTTCATGAAAGTCATGGAGTATATACGGGGCTGAGTTAGATATAGGAGACATACTATTATAGTAAAATAATACTTTTTGAAAAAGAGCATGACGAAACAAAGAATTAATATTTAATAGAAACCTAAATTTCAGATGTTTAAACCTAAGTAAAATAGGAGAAGTAAGACATTCAGCCTGTAAAGAAACAATAGGAGTTGTTCTCATAGAGCCGGTAATGTCTTAAATTCTTATTTTGTTTAATATCTAATTTGTTTACTAGTTTTTTATTTGATGCAAAACAAAGGAAGCCCTACTCAAAATGGCTCCTCACCAAAGACTTATATAACATTAATAATATTTCTCGATAAGCTCCCCAGTTAGTACTAGCAAAGCTTTTAATACATTAAAGGCCTTAGAAGCTCTGTTTGAAATAGAATTCACGTATTTGGTCCAAGATAAATTATTTGTAAAAATTATACCTAAGAATTTTGCATAACTTAGAAAGTTAACCAAATCATCTGCATATTGTAAATTAGTAACATTTGATCCTAAAATATTATTTAATTTAAATATGTATAAAATAAAGACAATAGGACTTAATATTCCTCCTTAAGAAACACCTGTATAACTGATCCTAGGACCAATAATTGTATTATTATTATTAACATTAGCAAAAACTCTTCTTTCATGTGAAAAGTTAAATATCCATTTTACAATTTTTTCAAGCTTGCCCAAAGACCTCAACTCTGCGGCGAGTATCTGAAGATTAAGGTTATTAAATGCACCAAACAATATACTAAGCATTAATTAGTATAGTCAAAGAATATACTAATTAATACTTCATTATTTTCCATTGCTTTAAAGATGTCTCAATGAAGAAATGCAATACTTTCTCTAGATGATTTACGGCGTCTGAATCCAAACTGATTTAATGGTAAAAGACAATTTTTTTCTAGATAAAATTCTAATCTAGATTTTATAAGTTGCTCAAATATTTTACCCATACAAAATGTAAGTGCTATAGGTCTGTAAGATTCTGCAATGTGAGGTTTTTTTCCAGGCTTTAAAATGGGTATCAAACAATCTTCTTTCCAATCGTTAGGGTTAAGTGAATAAAACCATAACTTATTATATATTTTCAAAACTAGTTCTCTACATGCAGTATTCATATTTTTAAAATCTTTATGTGGAACAGAATCTAAACCACAAGTAGTGCCCTTTCTAAAGTTAACAGCTGAATTGAATTCGGTCAAGGTAAAAGGTTTGGTAAGATAATCACAATGATTATCATTTGAGGAGTGAAGAGTTAGAGGTGATTCATCTGTTTCTGGGGTATATTTTTTCGAAAATTCATTAGCCCATTCGAATCTATGACTGATGGATGTGTTATTATGAACAAAAGTTTTGTTAAACTTTTTAATGTAATTCCATACTCTAGTCAATGGAGTAGATCTATTAAAAGTTTCACATAGTGTTTTTTAGCTAAGCTGTCTTTCAGGCTTCAAAGTAATTTTTTTAATAGCTTGTAGTTTTTTTTTAAATTATTATAATTTAGTTCTGTGGGATCATTCTTAAATACTAAATATGCATTTTTACAATTTAATACTGCATCTTTGTATTTTAAATTTCACCAAGGTAGCGAATTTTTTTTATTTCTTTTAAGAGATTGCATGTTGATGTTAACATTTCGATTAGAAGACTGATTGGATGGTGTGGATTCATGCATGACTTGTTTAACTAGTTCTATTAAATCTGTATAACATTGTAAAGGATTACTATAATCAAAACTATAATTTTTAATTAAATCTTCTATTAAATTTTGATATTTTGACCAATCTACCAACTTTAAGTTTATGTTATTTGATACAGCTGTTTCTTGAAAATTTTGATTATTGACTGTAATTTTTGTCTTTACCGGAAAATGATAGCTGCCTAGAGAATCATCATCACATACTTGCCACTTACAAGACAGAGCCAGTGAAGATGAAACAAGTGTCAAGTCTAATGCATTCTGCCTCCATCTATGAGATCCTACTGTAGTCATCTGACCATCATTCAAGATTACAAGATTGTTGTCATCTATACTTGCAAGAACATCCCTAACTTGTGAATCCAATTCAGTACATCCCTATAACGTGTGATGGGCGTTGAAATCACCAGCTATAAAGACTGGCTGTGGCAAACTTTGGATTAAATTATCTAATTAGGATTTATTATAATTAATTGATGAATTAGGGGGACAGTAAACACTAACAAAAGTTAATAATTTATCATTATATTGTATTTGTTGATCATGTGTGTGAATACTTCACTAATGTTGGTAAAACCCTAGCTGAAGATATTCTAAGAAAGACTTATACACAACAAGTTGGTGCTAGCAATGTTTGTTTTAATTCACCTGTTGCGTCCATATTTTTTCAGGAAACCGATTCTGAAGAGGTTCACAAAATTCTTATGAGCCTAAAATCTGAGAGCGCTCCAGGCTGGGATAATGTATCTACAATAATGTAAATAGTAATGTTTTTGAAACAGGCGAATGAGCAAGTAGTACCTATAATTTCGCACCTTGCTAACCTCTGCTTTGAATATGGAGTCTTCCCAGTTGCGCTCAAAAGGGCAATAATAACGCCGGTGTATAAGAATGGTGACAGAGAAGATGTATCCAACTATAGACCAATTTCAGTTTTAACCACAATTTCAAAAATTTTAGAGAAATTAATTAACAAGAGACTTATAAACTATTTAAATAAAATTGATTTTCTTTCAAAATCACAATATGGCTTTCATCAAAATCTTTCAACTGAAGATGCAGTCACCGCACTAACGGCTCATATCGTCAACAATATTGACAGGGGAAAGAAATGTTTTTTTTTTATATAGAATAAGGGTGACAAACGAGCACACAGTCCACCTGATGGTAAGTGGTTGCTGCGGCCCATAGACATCTACATCTATCCTCTATTACAAATCAAAATGTAGATGCGTTGTCACCCGTGAGGACTAAGATGGAATGCCTCATTTCCAGTAAATGTATTGCAGTGTTTTTAGATTTAAAAAAAGCATTTCATACTGTCTCTGTCCCCATTCTTATACAAAGGCTGGAGAGTATTGGCATAAGAGGAGTGGCACTTACGCTATTATCAGGCTACCTCAATGAGCGCAAACAATGCATGAAAATAGGCCAATATATTAGTAACCAATGTGACGTGACGTATGGGGTACCACAGGGAAGTGTACTTGGGCCGACTCTGTTCTTGATTTACATCAACAGCCTCTGTAATATGAGTATTAACGCGGGACAAGTTTTTTCCTATGCAGACGACACTGCCATTGTTTTCACTGGCAACACGTGGGATTCCGTACACCATGTAAAATCTAACCTTTTTAACATTGAATACGGACAAGACAAACTACATAGCATTTACAAAGTATAATTCAACGCAACCTCAACATAATTTCAAAATTCAACTTCATGA